CCTATCACATCGCCGTTGTTATCGGCGGTCAGTCTGCCGACCAGACTATGAAGACTGTCAAGTTGGCATCTACTAAGTATTACGATGGTCTTCCCACCACTGGTGATTCTACCGGTCGTGCCTTCCGGGATCTTTACTGGGAGGAGAGACTTCTCAAGAACTGCCAGGAACTCGGTATCGGTGCTCAGTTCGGCGGCAAGTACTTCGCGCACGATGTACGCGTTGTCCGTCTCCCTCGTCACGGTGCCTCTTGCCCTGTCGGCCTCGGTGTTAGTTGCTCGGCTGATCGTCAGTGCCTCGCTAAGATAACCCCCGAGGGTGTCTTCATCGAGAAGCTCGAGAAGAATCCCGCCAAGTACATGCCGGATTTTGTTGGTGATAATGATGAGGCTGTCAAGATCGATTTGAACTTGCCCCAGAAGGAGGCTCTCGCCACCTTGAGCAAGTATCCTGTTAAGACTCGTGTTGCCCTCACCGGTACCATCATCGTTGCTCGTGATATAGCCCACGCTAGAATGATGGACATGCTTCAGAGCGGCAAGGGGCTTCCCGACTACATCAAGAAGTACCCTGTGTACTACGCTGGCCCTGCCAAGAAGCCTGATGGAAAGCCTTCTGGTTCCTTCGGACCCACCACCTCCAACCGTATGGACCCTTACGTTGAGCCCTTCCAGGCCAACGGTGGCTCCATGATCATGATCGGTAAGGGTAACCGTAGCGATATGGTGACTGATGCTTGCAAGAAGCACGGTGGTTTCTATCTCGGCTCCATCGGTGGTGTTGCTGCTATTCTCGCTGACAAAAGCATCAAGAAGGTCGAGTGCCTCGATATGGAGGAGCTCGGTATGGAGGCCGTGTGGAAGATCGATGTCGTCGACTTCCCTGCTTTCATCATTGTTGATGATAAGGGTAACGACTTCTTCAAGATGGGCAATGCTAGCGAACAGAAGATGACTTTCTCTCACTAGGTCGTTCATATGCAAGTAATTGTATCAGTCTGTTGTGACCATATAGCATTTATACTCGCAATATCATAGCGAAGATTGATGTGTTATCTTTATAGTTACATTCATTCGCAGCCGTCGGTAAGACGCTTTCTGTTCATAATGT